GCCATTTCTCACACACCCACGTCTCGCTCCACACCCACCTCAGAAGCAGCCGAGACTCCTACCCCCAGCTTGGTAACCACCGCCACTGTGACCTCTTCACACGGCACCCCCAGCTTCACCTCTTCAAACATCGACTCCACAGTCAGCACATCCACAACTGCCGTCACCTCCGCTCCCACCACCTTGGGGACCCTGGTGACTTCTCCATCCATCCGCTTGTCTTCACTCATTACTCACATCCCCACCACAAGACCAACCACTATCACTCACCCTTCCGTTAGCTCCACTGGCTCAGTGGCTTCCACAACTGACCTCACCTCCACCGTTGCCCCTTCCAGTTCGCCAGCAACATCCACCCATCTCACGCCATCTACCCCAACCATCCCAATCACAGAGCCTTCGTCCCTTGTCAGCACAACCTCTGCTGCCATTTCCACCACGAGAACGACTCGCACAAGTGCTGAGACTCCCCCGACAAGTTTTCTTAGCACAAGTCTTCCCGTGACACCTTCTACCTTTATTTCAACGTATAGCCCTCCTCTAGTGACCTCTCATACCGGGAATGAAAAATCTCAAGTAACAACTACTCTTCCCCCTTCAAGGACAGACACTTCCATGCCCTCTCTTCATATTCTAACTCCATCCATGAATTCCAGCAGTGCCATGTCAACATCGCACGTCCATAGGACCAGCACACCTTTGTCCAGTCTTCAAACTTTTGTCTCCACCCCCTCTCCGCAAACCTCACTCACGTCTACAAGCCCGTCTACTACAAAATCTTTCACTAGAGGGAGTACGTCTACAAATGCAATCGTGACATCTTTTAGTACCATCATCTCGTCTTCAACACCCTCTGTCACGATGTCCTCTTCCGTGTCTCCCACCAGCACAGTCCCAGTGTTCTCCACCACCACTCACTCTGTTTCTTCCTCCCCACACACGTCCACTACGGAAAACACAGGCTCCTCTTCTGTCACCGCCTTGTCCACTCTGCCTTCATCTGCAACCAGCAGCACTTCTCTGACTATCTCCTCTCCCGCCACAACCCTCACTGAAATTACCCCCTTTTCTTATATTTCTCTTCCCTCTACTACACCATGTCCAGAAACTATAACAATTACAATAGTCCCTACCTCGCCCACTGTCGCCTGTGTTGAAGTGGGTCCCGGCATTGACGTTACTTCCCCTCCCACCACCCCATTATCAGTCCTTCCCTTCACTACCGAAATGGTCACTTTTCCTGGTTCCACCAGTATGAGAACTGTCCTTCCTACATATATGGCCACCTCTCCTTCCGTGACTCCGGAAGGCGAGCTCACCAACCTCACAAGTGGTGTTCCTAGTTCTCCTGGCACTGGGACTGCATCCGTGAACACAGTTTGGACAAGCACCCAAGTGCCCACCCGTGACTGGGTGAGCACCAGCTCTCTCACCTCCCCATATCCGCCTGGCGTCACTGCGGCCACACCCCCCACAAAACCAAGCAGCACCCTTCCAACTGCCATGAGGACTTCAAGCAAGCTGACATACCCCACCTCACCGACCACCAGAACTCCAGAGACACCAGTGGCTACCACCCAGACTACCACCACTCTTACGTCACCTAAGACAACCAGGACCACTACTCAGATGACCACACAGACCAGGCTGACCACCACTCCAGGTTGAACCTCCTGTCTCCCTGTTCTCTTTCCACACTTCCCCTAAATTCCTGCATCACCAAGGTCAGGCTCTATTCTGAACTTCTCTTTCTTCCTGTGCTTCCCAGGCACCTGTGACAACGGTGGCACCTGGGCACAGGGCCAGTGCCTTTGCCTCCCAGGGTTCTCTGGGGACCGCTGTGAGCTCCAGGAGATTAAGTGCCAGAACGGGGGCACCTGGGATGGTCTCAAGTGCAACTGCCCCAGTACCTTCTATGGCTCCTACTGTGAATTTGCTGTGGAACAGGTAGACCTAGGTGAGTTGCCAGAACCAAGCTCTCTGCACTTCCTCTCCCCGGGATTACCCTTGTGAGGCACCAAGATGGTCACTTTTCCTCACCTCTTCACCCTCACCTCTAGGAGGCTGCTGGGACCACACTCCCTCCTGGGGCTCTCAGCCTGGGCTGCTTGGAGCTGTATTCGTTTCCAAATCCTGCGGTGGCAAATTTCCACAAAACTAGCTACTGAAACAACACAACACAAAATCATCATTTCATAATTCTGTAAATTAAGAATCTGACGTGGGTCTCAGTGGGCTATAATCAAAGTGTCACCAGGGCTGTATTCTTCTCCAGAGGCTCCAGGGGAGAATCCATTGCTTGGCTTTTTCCAGCTGCCGGAGTCCCCCGCCTTCCGTGTGCCAGGGCCCCCCTCCTCTGCGTCTCTCTGTGTCTTTCTCTTGTCACACCTCCCTCCGGCCGCCTCTGACCTCTTCTGCTGCCTCTTCTGCTGTTAAGGACTCTTGTGGCTGTGTTGGGCCCACCTGGATAGTCCACGCTAATCTTCTCATTTTAAGACCAGGAATCTCGCTGGGCTCGGTGGCTCAGCCTGTAATCCTGCGCCTTTGGGAGGCTGAGGTGAGTGGATTGCCTGAGCCCGCGGGTTCGAGACCTGCCTGGGCAACTTGGCGAGACCTCATCTCTACAATAAATCAAAACTCAGCCGGGCGTGGTA